CCTACGTCGAGGCCTTCGTCAGCAGGAGGGTCCGCCGTGGCAAGGGCCGGGTCCGAGATCACTCGACTCCCGTCCGTCATCGAAGAGAGCCACGACGGAGACGAGGAGCCTCCCACTCGCCAGGATACGCCAGAGGCAGAGGAGTCTCCCGAGTCGGCTGCGGCCGCCGCCTCTCCCTCCGCTCCTCCGTCGGCCTCTCCTCTTCCCTCTCCTTCCCCCGTCCCGTCTCCGGTTTCCCCCTCTTTCTCTCCTGCCTCTCCCGCTGCCGCCGCCGCTGACACCGCCGCGGGAGGAGGAAGGAGGACGCCCAGAGGTCGGCTGCAACAGCCGAGCGACGTTCCCGCCTGCATCCGACAGAGGCAGGCGGAGACGCGGGCCGCCAGCTGTCCCCCGGGAGTTAGCGACTCGAAGCGGGCTAGGATCGAACCCCCTCCAGGTCTCGGGCCGACAGAGGCGGTGCCAACCGCGACCCACTCAGGCGCCAGCACCTCCGAAGGGGGACCAGGCCAGGTAGGTAGGAGGGTGCAGGAGATCGAATCACGACTCAGAGGAGACGGGTTGTGTTCCTTTTTGGTGGGAGCCGGGGATGCGCGGGTGTTCTTGGTTGAGGAGGCCTCTCAGGATCACGAGGAGGTCCTGGCGGCCAGCCGGGGGGGAGAGGTCACTCTGAGCAGGCTCACTCCAGCTGAGCGGGGGAAGTTTGAGATTTCAGATGACAACGAGTGGCAGAGCATGGCCAGTTCTGGTGCGGTCGAGGTCATTCCGCCCCGAGAGGCGAAAGTGATCAGAGAGCAGTGCCCCGACCGTATCATCACGAGTCGGATGGTACGGCGGTGGAAACCCGTGGAGGGCACATTTTCTGAACCAACCGCCAAGTCCCGGTGGTGCGTGCACGGGCACAAAGACCCAGACACCGGGTCGTTGTTTGTCTACTCTCCCACTCCCCAGACCTCGTCCATTCTCATGTTCATCCAAGTGATGATGAATCTCGGACACTTCGGCGATATCGCCGACGTGAAGAATGCCTTTTGCCAATCAGATCCCATGAGCCGTGCTCAGGGAGAAATATACGTGGAACCATGCGAGGGCATCAAGGTTGAGCGGGGGTCCCTGATTCGGCTCTTAGTGAATGTCTACGGACTTGACGACGCACCACTTGCATGGCGCAAGACCATCGTCGGATATCTCAGGACGAAAGGTTTCACTCGCAGTCTCCTGGAACCGTGCTGGTGGATGAGATACGCCCCCGACGGCACCCTCCTCAATATGGTGCTGCTAGAGGTGGACGATTTCTTCATCTCCAGCAACTCCCAGGAGTCCCGGGCCTGGATCAGGGACACGCTCACCTCCAGGTTTCGCTTCGGCAAGTATCGGGACTGTCACGCCGGGGCCGTCGAGTACGCCGGTAGGAGCGTCACCATCGGGCCTCAGAAGACGACAGTGGACCAGGAAAAGTACATCCTGGAGGAAGTGCGAGCGATCAGTCTCGAGCGTGGGCAACTTGGGCAGAAGGACTCCCCCCTCACTCAGCCAGAGTTCAAGGCCCTTCGGTCCCTCATTTACAAGCTGAACTGGGTCGGGCGGGAATCCAGACCGGAGGCCGCAAGAACGGCCAGCATTTTGGCGAGTCGCCTGAGAGCGGCCACTACCCGGGACGTGGCCGTCGCCAACAAAATGGTGAGGTACCTTCGGTCCACGGCCTCGAGGGGCCTGACGATCTGGCGTCTCGATCCCGAGAAAATGGCGTTTGTGTCTTTTTCCGATGCGGGTGGAGTCGGGGCCCATGAGGGCCTCCTGGACGATCAAGGTCTGCCCGCCGATCCCACGCAAGGGGCCTGGATGGTTTTGGCGACAGACAGGAGCGTGATTGATAACTGCGCTGTGAGGGCGTCCACCCTGGGTTGGAGGAGCTCTAAGCTCCGCCGTAAGGTTACGTCCACCCTCGCAGGCGAGACCCAGGCACTGGCACAGGCCGTGTCTGAGGTCGAGTTTCTTCAAGTACTTTATCGCGATGTAGTTTTTGGAGATGTCGACGTCTCGGACATGTCTCGATGCTCTGGGCCTTTTACTACGGTCCTGCGTCGGGACTGTCGACTTGGAGGAAGGGAGGACCAGGTCCACGTGGTGGACGCGAAGAGTATATATGACACCATGTTAAAAGAGGGAAATGCCAGCGCACGTGACAGGAGGACCGCTTTGGATTTGGCAGCCGTGTGTCAAGCTCTGGAAGGAGCTAGGGGCCACATCAGGTGGGTCCCTCACGCCCGTATGCCAGTAGACAGTCTGACTAAAGACGACATTAGCAAGGGTAATGCCGCCCTAGGCAGTCTGCTCGCCACCGGCCGTTTGGTCCTCGTGGACGAGAACGGAGAGATGTCTCGTCGCAAGCACGACCCCGGCAGCAAGGATCGATCCCACGCAGCGTCCAAGAGAACGCTGACCCAGGACTCTCGACTCATCTCGTGGGAGGACTTTCAGTCGAGCTACGCAGTGTCGGAGTCCGGGGATCCAGGATCCTCTCTCTCTCTCTCTCTCCTTCTCCCTGAGCACTGACTTATTTGTATAGCTACTGTTTTGCCTATAGGGGATGCTAAACCTAGGAGAAAGTTTCACCCATGTGATAGGTGTCCTTTGATAGGTTTAGCATATTGATCTTTCTTGTATAGCCCCGCATTCCAGCTCACGGGGCAGCCAGGATTGTCCGCTATGACACTCAGGGAAGATTGTACTGTACTTCGTCGTTGCGGCTCAAGGCCAAAAGTACATCTGTTCATCCTGCTGCTGCCACACGTTGGAACAACACCCTGGAAGGAGCCAAACGGCTTATTGGAACATTCGAATCATCAAAGCAAGCTGGGAGCGCATACTGATCCAGTGAGGCACCCAACCTGTCTGCAACCAGCAAGATTCATCAAAGAACGCGATGTCTGCTGGAAACTGCGCAAGAGGTCTGTGCTTCACGCTCGAGACATGCATGGCACATCATCGAGGTACAACTCCCAGGAGCGCACGAAGGTGGTGACAGTTGCGCAGCTGGGCAATGGAAGGGCGAGCTCTACGCCGGATGCACAGTTGGCACTACCCAGGGAGCCCGAGGTCCTTCCTGTCTGAATGTGCAGGGCGCGTCGTTCCAAAGGGCCTCATAAGAGCATCAAAGTGGCGACCATTCCGCAAATGGCAGCATTTGGGAGCGTGAGGTCCAGTCTGGATGCGCGTGGGGCGCCACTCCGCTGGGTCTAGCAGGAGCCCGCCAAGGTAGCAGCGATGTCACTTCTGCATGCGCACGGCGCGTCGCCTCGCTGGACGTCCCATACGCTCATCAAAGTGACGACAATGGCGCAATTGGCAGCTCCGAGGGACCGCGAGGTTCCGTCTGAACGCATGTGGCACATCGCTCCGGCGACCGTGGCGCATGCTGGCTGTCCCCAGGGAGCAGCGAGGTCCCGCCTGAGTGCGCGGAGAACCGCGCTCCGCTGCACCTCCCGTGCGCTGCCGGGCCCACATACAGGACATGGCCGACGCTTCTCCCCACCCATGGACTCGTGAACACTGGGATCACTTCACCTGGGACTGCAGAAAGCACAGAAAGGGGCGAGCTCGCCCAGACATGGGCCCACGACGCGTCGTGACCGACTTCCTGCCGCTGCCCCTCGGCTTCCAGGCCACAACTCGGCTCTGGAGGCGGCCGTTCGGGACGGTCCGGGCACCCCTGGAACGCTCGCGGCGGGGCGCAGCTGTTGGAAATTCTTCCAGATCGAGGCTGGAAAATCGCCGAGGACAGGGAAACACGCGGAGGGACGTGGCCCTCACTCGGCGGCGAGCGAGGGGGCGGAAGTGAGAAGGAAGAGGCCTTCTCAGAAGGCTCGGAAGTCCCCCTGCCTTCTGAGAGGTTTCCTAAGCCTCCGCCGAAGTCACAAAGATGTTCTCGGAAGGCGCGAGGGCTTCTGAGAAGTCCGCCGCCTTCTGAGAGGGCCTTGTCCTTCTCACTTCCCCTCCTCGCTCGCCGCCGACTCATCCCCCTCCCCTCCCGTCGTACTTCAGGACCACATCCCATCGCACTTACGGACCACATCCCAGAAATAATTTCGAGCACCCAGAAAAGTGTCGAAAGAGTGTCGAAACAGTGTCGAAACAGTGTCGGACGAGTGTCTCGCAGGGCCCGACACGTGACAACCCTCGAGTTTCGGTACTTTTCTAATGCTCCACATTCTTTCTGGTGCTCAAGGCTAGAAATAGGTTGGAACATCATAACCCTCCATGGCGCTGCCGCAGAGGTCGCTGCCTCGGACCGATGCCGCGCGGAGGTCTGTGCGAATGCCGGCGCCCTGCCGCCGCCTCCGTCAACTCGCGCCAGAGGTTTGTCCAGCACGTGGTCGCCAGAAGTCCCGACCCGCTTCCCAGGGCCAGCGTTTCCTCCTTGGGGCAGGGAGCGACCGTCCCGGCACTCCTGCAGTCCTACCACGAAGTGTTCTTAGAACCCGAAAGCGTTCTGAGAACACAAGCAAGGTTCTGAGAACATAACCCCGATGTGCCAATACAACACAACATCAACCAGAAAGGTTCTAAGAACAATTCGTGGAAACCACGAGAGGTCCTGAGCACATTGCTTGGCAAGGCTATATAGGCGAGCCAGGGCGCCTCGCCCCTGCTCGACTCCTGCGTCGTTCCTGTGCTGGCCCCCGGGCCCGCCGAGGGCCCCCCGAGGCCGAAGAGATTCGGCACGCGGGCGCACCCCGAAGCCCTCCGCACGCCGGGAGGTCCGGCTGTGCAGACTGCCGCGCCACCGCCCAGACTGCGCGCGGAGCTGTTTTATCCGAAGGGGCGCGGGAGATAGAACTACACTGCGGTGCGTGGCGCGATGGCCAGTCGGGAGATAGAACTACACTGCGGCAGACGAGGGCGCGCGCGCGCGTGCGCGTGGGCACATCGAGAGAACAGCCGAGAACAGCGTCTTCTCCACACGGGCGGCACCAGCCCGAAGAGAGGCGCCCCACCGGCGCCTTGTTCGGGTGCTTGGCCGCCCGTGCGGGCGCGTCCCTGTCGGAGTCGTCGTCGCCGTTCTCCTGGGCGATCTTGGCGAAGGCGTCGATGAAGAGGCAGTACTCCTGCCGGCGCCCGACCCGTCGCGGGCCTCGCATGCCCTCTCACGACCGCAGCGGCGGCCACCGCTCGGGGCAGCGACGCCCCTGGCGGCAGCGAAGCGCTGGGGCGTCAATGGGTGGCAGCCCTGCCGCGGGGACCGTCCTCGCCCTTCTGCTCCAAGGGGAGGCGACGCTGGCGCAGAACGGGATGGGGCGGAGGGAGGAGGGGGAAGGAGGAGGAGGAGGAGGAGGAGGAAGAGGAGGAGGAGGGAGGTGGTAACAGTTTTTTTTTGGTCTGCGGGTCGAGAGCGAGCCCCTTCCGGTTAAGAGCTAGGCGGGCCGCGCAAAGCACGAACTGGGGAGACAGAGCACAGGGCGGGCGGGGCCTCAGGCGGCCGCAGGGCGGGCCGGGGTGCAGGCGGTGCTGAGGAGCTTGCAGAGGAACAGGAACGCCTTGGACAGGAGCCAGAGGCGAAGTCCCGGAGGGTGAGCGGTGTGGTGTTGCCAGGGAGATGGCAACAGACGAAGGTTAGGAACAACGAAAACCCGAACACCTATCATCTGGGCGCAACGTGGTGCTAGCTAGCACTACGATGGCACCAACGAAAGCCGCATTCCACATGAAAAGAGTAACCAGCCCGCCCAGTCGCGGGTCCCAAGGCCACACTGACATGATGGCCGAACAGCCTTCTTTGGCGTGGAGGGTGGGGGGGGGCAGGCAGTAGGAGGGGAGGGGGAACGGGGAACACCAGGGGAAGGAGTATGTGATGGTTAAGAAGGAGGAGGAGGAGGAGGAGGAGGAGGAGGAGGAGGAGGAGGAGGAGGAGGAGGAGCAGGAGGACGAGGAGAAGGACTTCGCCACGGGATTGGGCCGACAACATCAAGGCCCGCCCCCGCGAGCGCGAGGAAGGCCAACGGAAGCCGAGCAAGGCTTTCACTACCATGGGTCCTCATGGTCACCAATGCTCGATGGCTTCTGTTGGACGGCAGCTTCACGCACAGGGCCGATGTCTCAAAGCATTGAGACAAGGATGCTGTCCGTGCAGGATTCGATTCAAAATGACGTGAGGGGAGGCCCAATTATCTTCATCAACTGTGCCCCCACGCAAACGTTCCGATAGACAATGAGAGCGGCGAAGAGACGCAATGATAATACGTATCTGCACGAAACATGGGCTTGCAACGCGCTATTGGTGAGCCAAAGCTACTCATGACCGCTAAAGAATGAAGCATAGACTTACCCTCACATGCATGTCCATCCTCTGTGCCTGCCCGCCCGCGGGCCTTGGGAAGAACGAAGGTCTTCGGGCAGATGTCCCAATACTTCCCGGACTTGCCGCCCATCTTGGTGTACCGCTCCAGAGTCCGCTTCAGGCAGTCCTTGCGCGTGATGTGCTTGTTCTCGGGGAAGTGGTTGACCTGCAGGGATTGACCATAACATAACCCCGAATCGTTTGGGAGAGGTCCTGAGTTAGGAGGGGCACGAAATTGGGGATGGGTGATACTTCTTCCTGCAGATGCATCAAACCAGACCGCCCAGACTTCTTCCCCCGAAGGCGAAAACTCGGGAAACTAATGAGGTCACGTCTTCATCGTGTTATCAGGGTCAGGGGCTCTGTGGTTCTCGATGGCGCAGCCTGCCTCACTGCCGTGCATCCTGTGCTGTCGCCCCTCGCTGCCGTGCCACCTGCCCGCCTCGCGCCCAGCCCGGCCTTCTGCCACGTCAGGAGGCGCGAGTAGTCCAGCTTGGGCTTGCTCCACGTCCAGCACAGGTTCCACGCGTTGGACAGGCCGAGCCCGTGGGGCAGCTCCTCGGCTCCGGCAGGGCGCGGGGCCACCAGTGACTACCTGCCAGACCACCCCAACCCAACCCGAAGACCCGAACTTCGGGTTGGGGGGGGTAAGGGTTCCACGCGTGTTTTCTCTATGTTCCCCGACCCCCCCCCACTGGAAATCGACGGTACATTTGAGCCTTCGGGTTGGGTTGGGGTGGTTTGGTGGGTGGAACCAGGCACACAGCGGGACTGGGCGACACGAAGCCGAGCGGCCAGCTGCGGCCAAGGACCCGAGGGGGAGCCGCTCGAGAAGTGCCCACTGCACTCGCTGGCCGGGCGCTGCGCCCGCCGACGATCCGGGCCGATCGCAGGCCAGTCGCCCGACCAATCCAGGCCGATCGCGCGGTGGCGCGGGGGCAGTCTCGGCGTTGGTGGTACGGTCTCGGCGATCACTGCATCGGCGACTCTACGATGAGCTGAAGGCTCCGATTGGAGACCACGCGGCAAATCCGATTCCGCAGAAGACCGAATCTAAGCCGTATGGTTTGAAAACTATGGCTGGATCGCACGGCGGATCTTCCGTCACTCGAAGCAGTGCTGTCCTGAATGCTTGTAACGTGATTACACGCGTTGGTCCATTTGGCCACATGCTGCACGCAGGTGCCCATAATTGGCTGGCGAAGCAATGCCTCAGACAATCACTACCTGAGTCAAACGGTGAGCTTCCCAGGTCAAAGCCTTCGGCCACAAGTGGCGTCTGGGCATTCAGCAAACAAGAGACGGGAACATACAACCCTTCACGCCATCATGAAGATGGCAAGACAACGCAGCGGGACCCCTCCATGAGATGGGGGAAGGAGCCGTACGGTCAGGCACTGTTGCGTGTCGCGTCAGCGACCCCGGCGACACGCTGTGTCCTGCAAGCTGATACGGAAGAAAAGAGAACGGCGTAAACATAAACTTTTGGCGCTCCGCGCGGATTTCTTGGATCTGCACGGCGCGCGGAGCGCGCCAAGGGCGGCGCCGGAGGCGCCGCCGGGGGGGCCCAGCGCGGATCCAAGAAATCTGCGAGGAGTGCCAAAAGTTTATGCTTATGACCTTTTTTCGCGCCGAAGCGTGGCAAGCCAGAAGCGGCGGCGCGGCGCAAACGTCCCTGACCGCATAGTTGCACGACTGACCTCCGAGAACCTGCGAGCAAGGAAGGCTCCGTCTCAGCTGTGCCCGAGACCCCCCCTGAGCGCCGCACCTCCCAGCCGGCCTTCTTGTGGAACGTCCGCGTGACGATGTCGTACACCTCCGTGCGGTTCTGCACCACCTGGTCGGTTTCGGAACTCCTGAGCCCCCACTGACTACCTACCAAACCACCCCAACCCAACCCGAAGACCCGAATTTGACCCGAATTTCGGGTTGGGGGGGGTACGGGCTCCATGTGCTTTTTCAACGTTCCCCGACCCCCCCCAACTGGAAATGGAAGGCAAATTGAAGCCTTCGGGTTGGGTTGGGGTGGTTTGGTAGGTGGTGACCCACAGCCACAATTGTCATGTGCTGGTGGACGACACCGTTTTGCTTCCGTTGGCTTCCACCAGCTTTCGCCGGCGGAGCCGCCCCCGTTTTGTGTTACTTCCGCCAGCTTCCGTCGCCCTTCCGCCGAGGAGATGACGCCAGCTCCCTCGATTGCTGGGAGAGGCGATGCCCTTTCTTATAGCGAGCGCAGCACCTCGCCGTGGCGCCCAGGCAACGTTCTCCTGGGCGGCAGCGCCTGGAGATTCCAGAGCGCAGACCGCGAGACTACAGCGCCAGCCTGGCCCAAGAAATGCAGCGCCAGCTGCCCGCAGGCTGCGCTTCCGGTCCGCGACTGGAGCCCTCAAGGATATCTATATCTATATCTATATCTATCTATCTATCTATCTATCTATCTATCTACCTACCTATCTATGTATATATACACATATATAGGTATACATACAAACATACATCCTGGCAATTTCCCTCCTCTCTCTACCCTTGTCCTTCTGCACCCTCCTCCTTCTTCTCCTCCTCCTCCTCCGAATTTCTTCTTCCTCCCGTCTCACTTCCTCCTCCCTTCCTCCCTGCCTGCTGCGCAGCCGGGACCCAGCGTCGCCAGCTAGATTCGGACTCTTGCCGCAGGCCCGTGTCGCCCAATAGCCGCCTGGGGTACTGTGCTGCGTCCTCCAGCCGCGGTCACTCGCAGTGTTGAAGATTCGACGGGCTGGCATGTAGACTCAAGCCCCCCCTCTTCCGCCTCCTCCTCCGCCGCCGCCTGGTCCTTCTCCTCCTCCTCCTCCTCCTCCTCCTCCTCCTCCTCCTCATTCATCCTCCTCCGCCTTGTCCTCCTCCTCCTCCACCTCCTTCCTCCTCCTCCTTATACTCCTCCTCCTCCTCCTCCTCCTCCTCCTCCTCCTCCTCCTCCTCCTCCTCTTCCTCCTCCTCCTCCTCCTCCTCCTCCTCCGCCGCCTTCTTGCCCTCCCACCCCTCAATCCCTGTTGCATATAGATAGCTCCGCTCTGTCGCACCCCGAGGCTGGGAGGCGTGTCGGTAGGGCGGGCCAGGCGTTTCGCCAGAGACTTACCACTAATGATCCTGATGCTGAAACTTGCAAGAGCTTCGCGGATGGAGGCCAGGCCGTTCTCAAGCATGTGGCTGAAAGCATTCGCGCCGCACACATTCGTCTAAAGGGTTTGCAACAATTTCACTGGATGGCTGGCCGTTTTCAAAATGCGGCTTTCGCCTTAGCGCCGTACGCGTTCGTTTCGAAGGTTTGGAGCACATTCACAGACGGAAGGCTGGCAAGTTTGAACATGTAGCTGTCGTCTAAGCGCCGTGCACATTCGTCCTAAACGTTTGCAACACCTTCACGGCTGGAGGGTTGTACCTTTTTCAAAATGTGGCTCTCGCCTGAGCGCCTCGCACATTCGTCTCAATAGTTTACAGCAGTTGCAAGCATCATTATGGCTGGCGTCCCAGAAATAGCGTCCTGGTGCGATGTAGGACTGCTAGGCCGTTGCCTTGATTCGCTGTGCTGAAGTCCCATGAATGGTGTTCTGACGCGGTTCACGACCGTCTAGACGCAACAGTCACGTTGCTTCGCGGCGTTGACGTCCCAGGAATGGTGTTCTGGCGCGGGTCAGGATTTTCAAACGGTTGTCTTCCAACGGGGCACTTTTCCTGAGTGAGAATCAAACAGCGTAGGGACTGGTGAAACGGGAACTTGGAAGAACGGTTCACTGAAACATCATTGATGATTCTTGGGTTTACACTAATCCTACTCCTCCTCATCCTCCTCCTCCTTCTCCTCCTCCTCCTTCCCATCCCGCCCCTCATCCCTCCTGCCCGCCGCTGCCCCTGCCCCCGTAGCCCCCGTTGCTGAGCGAATGGTGCTTTTCGATCGCGCTTCTCCCGCCGCTGCTGCTGCCGCTGCTGCCTCTGCTGCTCCCCGCCGCTCCCGCCACTGCTGCTGCTCGTGCCGCTGCTCCCGCAGATGCTGCCGCTGCCACTCCTGCTGCTGCTCCTACCGCGGCTGCTGCTCCTACCGCTGCTCGTGCTGCTGCTCAGCTCGGAGTCGAGACCGGGGCAACAACAGACAAGGATAGATATGGGGGATCTCTGAGATCCGTCAGTTCAGGAGGAGAGCTCCACGCGGCAGGGGCGGCCTCCTCTTCCTCCTCCTTCTCATCTTCCACCTCCTCCTCCTCCTCCTCCTCCTCCTCCTCCTCCCTCTCATCCTCCTAAGACGGGCACAATAATTAAAAGAAACAACATCGGGCCTTGACAAATCGGGGATCTCTGCAAGCCGGCGGGTGTGGCGGATCCATCGGGCGCCGCAGGTAATTTCAAGTTCTAGGGCGTACCAGAACGCTCTGAGATCGTCCCAGAACGCCCTGGAGCGATGCACAGCAGAGACGTACACTGAGAGGCATTGCTAGAAGAACTCCAGGGGCACACTGTTCGGTGGACCTTGGGCCTCGCGGGATGCCCCCCGCAACCCCATGCGGGTGTCCAGGGACGTCGGGGAACAAGGCGTATCCGTGGGGCGCCTGCGGGCAAGCACTGCTGCCTCACTCGGCGCGCCCGCCCCCTGCGCCCCCGCCCTGGGCCACCCCTGACCTCCACAGCAGCGCTCCTCCCCTGGAGGTCCCGCGCCTCACGAGGGGCGAGACTCTGGGGGAACTCTTGCCGCTCCGTCGTGTCCGGCCAGCCAGGGAGCACCGCGTATCTCGTTTTGAGATGCGGCAGAGACGGAGCAAGCCGGACAGCCCAATCCAATTTGTCTCTCCGATGCCTCGATTGCACAAAACCCTCCGCCTTGGGAACCCAAAAGGTACCGATACCGCTACTCCCCGGGGCTTCTCCTGGGGTGCGTCCTGGCCAGAATTTCGAAGCGCATCCACCTTGTAGTACTTGAGGCCGCACACGCCCCTCGCCGGCTCCAGCGGCCTCGGCACCGGCTCCGGGGCGTCCGCCATCTTGTCGATCATGCCTTTCAGGAAGACCCCGTAGAGGCCGCCGCCGCGCGTGGCGGCGGCGCTGAGCGCCTGCGGCGGGCAGGGACCTGCCTTCTCCTGTTGTCGCGGATTCCAAGGGGCCCAGGCACACACAAATAAATACGCACAGCTAAGAGGATTCCACATAATTTCCAATGTTTGGGGGATTTTCATCTTCCCCCCCACTTCCCATATTTTCAATTTTTTCCTGGGGATCGACGATTAATTGTGTCTGTGTGTTTTTTCCCCTCCCTAGGATTGGGCGCTCGCGCAGATGGGCAGGACAGGCACAGGGCTAGTGTGCAGCGAACTGGCGCACTGCAGTAGAAGGCGAGGGGGAAGAGGGGACAAGGAAAGGCACGTGTTGCAAGCTGATGTGCTCGGCGTGCTTCTGCAAACAGACCGTGATGACAAGCCACGGCGATCAAGTCGACAGGCGGGGGCGCATGCCGAATGCGTCACTGGCCAAAGCTGGCGCGGGCAGATGCAAGTGCTTTGGCCTGCCTCTTGGAGCGCTCCGGAAATCGACAGATGAGGTAATTATGGGTAGGTGGCCCAGATCAGCGAGATCCTTGAGAGCTCTACGTGCTGCGGAAGCGCATGCTTGACCTCTGCTTCGTGTTACGGACGGCAGGGAAAAGCTCGGAAGGTTGCTGCTCGGAGACAGGGACGTTGTCAGTGTGTCGTGGCGAAGCGTGGTTGGCAAGACACCGGCGGCGCGACACGCTGCAAGCAGACTCCCACACCGATGCTGAATTCAATCGGAACAGGGCGAGTTGAGACTCGGGCAGCTCAAAATCTGTCCATGGACCCTTCCCCTGGGTCCAACCGCTCCAATTTTCCCAGCTGCGTCCGGCCGCGGCGACGAGGGGCCTTCCGAAGGCCAACCACTGGCCATTGCTCGGGCGTCCATTTCCCGTGCACGCTTCGATGTCGTGCGTGTTTTCTGCCCACGATGGTCCAGGACGCTCCTCGATGGCCCTCGCCGAGGGCAGACGCACACGCCCGAGCGATGCAGAGACCACCGGCGCCTCCACTGGCCCTCCACCTGCTCCTCGTCCTCCTCCTCCTCCTCCTCCTCCTCCTCCTCCTCCTCCTCCTCCTCCTCCTCCCCCTCCTCCTCCTCCTCCTTCTCCTCCTCTTCCTCCTCCTCGGAGACCAACCCCCGAGGAGCTGCAGACCACAGGCCTGGGCCCTGGCAGCGCTCCCCGGCGCCCCGCGCCTGGCCCTGCGCCACCCTCGCGCCGCCCCGGGGACCCGACGCTGCGAACAACCTGCGTTAAGTCGGGCCTGTCCCCCTACAGGGGGGATTTGCGACGAAAAAAAACATCCTCCAAAAATGCACCAAAAAGGTAAAAACATACTCAAAAAAGAATCCCCAGTTCATTTTTTGATTATTTCGGGGCTCAAAAAATAGTCCCCAGACCATTTTTGGACTATTTTGGGACTACTTCTATGGGTTTAAAAAGATTGTCGAACATCCCCCTGTAGGGGGGCAGGCCCGAATTAAAACTTGCAACGTCGTGGCGCATCGCGGCCGCAGCTCTTCTGGGACCCCATCTTTCTCCTGCTGCACTCGTCGAGCCAGCTCGATCGGTACTGGCCCAGGGGCCCAAGAGGTGGCGAAAACGCCCTGAGGCCGTGTTTTGTCAAGGCTCCAGCAATTTCACATGCATGGAAGGGGGGAGGGGGGGGGGGCGGGGCGAGGCCCGAAAGGAAATCTGCACTCCACGCAAGCCAGAACCCCCAGGACCTGGCGAAAACGCCCTGAGGCCGTTTTTTCTCTCTGGACTCCAGCAATTTCACATGCCTGGAAGGGGGGAGGGGGGGGGAGGGGCGAGGCCCGAAAGGACATCTGCACTCCACGCAAGCTGGGACCCACCTGCGCGCCTCTTCGGCCCAGCGCTGGCGGAAGAGGCGGCGGAGGGGGGTAAGGGGGGAGCGAGCTGCCCTGCGGGGCAGCTTGCCGGAGTCCGCCGGAGCAAACCGCCACCCGGCGCAGATGCAAGACCGGCAGCGCCCAGCTCTCAGCGTGCTCCCCCCCCCTGCGCCTCGCACGCCGCAGGGGCCAACCCCCTCCCGCCCGCCGCCATGTTGCCCGCTCGGCTCGGCTCGGCTGCCCCCCCCCGCCGCCCGGCGCCTGCTGGGTCATCTGCGGCGTGGCCGCGTCGGGCGCCGCCTCCCCTCGCTCTCGGGGGGAGAGCAGCGGCAGGGCCGCTTTTGTTGCCGGCTCCGTGTGGCCGTTTTGGCTGCCGGTTCCGACGCCGCTGTTTCCACCGCTTCCGCCGCCGTTTGTTTACAGGTTCCGGCTCCAGCTCCAATCCTGCGGCCGTTCTTGATGCCGTTTTTGGTCGCCGTCTGTTTGCCGCTTCCGTTTTCACGAGGCATTTTTGAAGGGGCCCTGGGACACACAAATAAATACACACAAATACAAGGATTCCCTATATTTTCCCATATTTTCTGGGCTTCTGTCTTCCCCCCCACTGCCCATATTTTCCCACATTTTCTGGGGAATCGACGATTAGTTGTGTCTGTGTGTGTGTGTTTTTTCTCCTCCTGGATGTTTTCGGAAACGGTGAAGAAACGGCCCTGCCGCTTCCGGGGGCTCGAGGAGCAGAGCGCGCGCCCGACCGATGCCGAGGCACCAGCGTGAGCACGGCGCCCACGTGCCCCGTGCCACGTCTGCACTGCCCTTCGAGCCCGGCTCCAGCGCGGTACCGCTAACCAGCCTCGAACGTATCCCTGTCCCTAAGATTGACACGCCCACAGGCGATGACAATCTTAGGGATGCACCCTCAGAAACCGAGGGAATCCCTAAGATCGCCATCGTGATGAGGTGATGCCCAACATAGGGATAGGACAAGGTTCTAGGCTGGAAAACAGCGGAGGCCAGTCCGCGAGAAGCCCTGCACGAGAAGCCCAACCCTGAGACCCCAGGACGTCTGGAGACTCTTGGCGTGGGAACGTCACGCCTCCCGCGGCAAAACCATCGAACCCCAAGAAACCCAGGGCACCCTGGAGGTAAGCAGAGTGTTTCGTGGCAGGGGTGTCATCTGTACGGTGCACGGTGCTGAGACGAAGCCGGGACAAGGGTAACGTCGGACAAAAATCCATCCAGAATCTCGGAGCTCTGGCAATCCTGGAAGATGCCTCGGGCGCCGCGGCCTTCTCGGAGCGCTCTTGACCGGTCCGAGAACGCGTTCCAGGACGCTCTGGAACGGCTTTCTCCTTGTCCCGGCCCCGCCCGAAGTTGTCTGGCTCTGAGGGCCGACCATTGATTTAAGTCGGGCCTGTCCCCCTGCAGGGGGATTTTCGACGAGAAAAAAAATACCCCAAAAATAATCCAAAAATAGTCTAAACATAGTCCAGGGACTATTTTTTGCGTATGTTTTGGCCTTTTTGTGGCATTTTTGGGGTCTGTTGCATTTTTCGCCGAAAATGCCCCTGTAGGGGGACAGGCCCGACTGAACCAATGATGCATCGTACCGCTCCCAGGTCGTCAGCGGCAGACGCCTCGTGGGGGGCCTGGAGGGAGAGGCGCCTCCGCCCACAAGAGAGCACCGAAGAGCACAGCGCTGCGCTCGCACGGTGCCTCGCATTGCATGCTCTGGGGACCTCGTCTGTCCCGTCGCGGCCCTGTCGGCGTCGGACCCGTGTCGAATCCATGTCGGACTCGGCGAGCCCGCGTCGAGTCCATGTCGAATCCGTGTCGAATCCACGCCTAATCCGCCTCGAGTCCAAATCGAGCTCGCTGTGAGGGACAGAGGTGGTCCCCCGAAGATGCAGCGTCATAGCCATAGCTGGAGACGTGTAAGCAGCAAGAAAGGGACAGGTCTTCCTGAGATCCGGGCGCTGAAATATTAGGAGGCAACTACTGGGAGATCTTCGCCGGACGGACTACGGAGGATTAAGCTCCAGTGGGGGCTCCTACGAAAAATTAGGCCGCGGATTAAGCGGGATTGAAGGGTACTGAGCCGGATTAAGCGGGATTAGACCGGATGAAACTGGATTACGCTGGACTACACGGGATTCTGGACCAGGGCAGAGTCAGAACTTAACCTCCCAGTACTTGCGTCCGAAGCACTGTGTGTTTGCACCGGACGCTTTCAGGGCAACGATAGGGGGGGATCGGCATAGAGGGGAAAGCATCGACCTGGTATCGGCGATACATTTCCGAAAGATCGGCGACAAGCCCCCGATAGTGAATCCGCACCTTCCTGGGCAGGATGGGGCTATTGGGCCTTTCTCGGCGATCACTTGGCGATTGGGGGTCGATGCGCCCCCCCCCCTTTGCCTATCCCCCCTATCGGTGCCCCTACACTTTCGCCCGGAAAGATGGGCTTGGGGCCCCGGTCCTGATGTCTTGCGATGTTGTATGTTTTGCAACGCTCGGGCTCAAGGACCAGGTCGGACAAGTCCTCCTACAGGGGGATTCGGGACAACAGAAAAGAAACATAGTCCAAACAGATTCGGAAATTCGTCCCCAGACAATTGTTCTGACTATTTTTGAATCTCCTCCTGCAGAGGGACCTGCCCGACGTAAGTCCAGGGCTCCGGCCGTGATGTCTCGCGAGGTTGTATGCTTTGCCGCGCTGGGGCCCAGGGGATCGAAGCGCAAAGAGCACCGCGGTCGCCCGCTATGCCGAGGCACACCGGGAAACTGGAGCTACTTGTGAGCGCCGAGGAGCAGCGGGCCTCCACGCAGACCTCCGCCTCCACCCCATCCTTCTCCTACTCCTCCTTCTCCTCCTCCTTCTCCTCCTCCTCCTCCTCCTCCCCCTCCTCCCCCACCTGCTCCTCCTCCTCCTCCTCCTCCCCCACCTCCTCCCCCTCCTCCTCCTCCCTCAAAAGACCGGGGGACTTCCGAGCCTTCTGAGAAGGCCCGCTCCTTCTCACTTCTTCCCCTCGCTCTCCGCCGACCAATACCATCTTGCCAGCTCTTGCTAGCCGACGCTAAGCGACGCTAGTCAATGCACATCGACGCTAAATCGCCGCCGATCGACGATCGTCGACGCTACATCGGCGCCATCTGATCGACTCCCAGGCGCCAATCGAGGCTCATCGACGCTAGAGGCGGAATTGAAAGAGTACGCCAAGCTCCCATGATTGGCTGCCGATTGCACCCGTCACTCTGCATCGTTGACGTGGGCATGTGAAGAGGCCCTGGGACATACAAATAAATACACACAAATTTAAGGATTCCCCATATTTTCCCAGATTTTCTGGGTTTTTGTCTCCCTCCCACTTCCCATATTTTCCCATATGTTCTGGGGAATCGACGATTCATTGTGTCTGTGTGGTTTTTTCCCCTCCTGAGCATGGCTGGACTGGATTCGTGTGTGGATCACGCGGGTGCCACGCGCCGGAGGCGCCGCGCGCCTGCTGCCCGCACGCAAGGGCCCGGACGCCGGCAGAAGACACCTGTGGCCATTGGTGCCTCCAGCCAACGGCCCATGGGCAGGGCCGCGTCACGTGGCAGGCTCTCGTCGGCTACACGCAGGAGTGACCCTAGGCAGGAGTAACCTTTGGTGCGCGGCTTTAGTGACTACCTACCAGACCAGCCCAACCCAACCCGAAGACCCGAATTTCGGGTTGGGGGGGTATGGGTTCCATACGTGTTTTTTAGATGTTCCCCGCCCCCCCCCCCACACTGGACATGGAGGGCAATTTGAGGCCTTCGGGTTGGGTTGTGGTGGCTTGGTAGGTGGTGATTTAGGGGAGAGGGGGCGAAGGGGCCAAAACCAAGCGCGCAAGCCGCCGCTACCGCATCGCGCTCAGCCACCGGGTGGCCCCACGAGGCCCGCGCCAAAGGTCACCCCAGCGAAGGGCCATTCTGACGCCTAGCCGATCTGGGAGCCCGGAACCCAAAACGATGTGCATCTCTTGGGGGCGCATCTTTTACTACTTCCGCCGCGTTCCGCCGGCCTTCCGCCAGCTTCCGCCGACGGAGCGAGCCGCCGCCGTTTTGCTTCCGCCGCCTTCCGCCGACCATCCGCCGCCTTCTGCCGCGGAGGAGGTGGCAACTCCTTCGATCCTCGGAGGCAAGGCCCTTTCTGGAATGCCCCCGGTGGCAGGCTCTGGAAACCCTGGAACAAGAATCATTGACGTCTCTTTTGCTGCCACGATACGCACACACACAACTCTACGCCTGTTGGCACGCAACTCAGCACGTATACTGAAAACGTGCCTGGCGCGGCGCGCTCGCCAAAACGTGGACCAACAAGTTCCGGGCCAACACGCAGCGTGTGAACACGGACCTTTTGAACACGGTATGGGCAGCGTTTCAAAACGGGCGGATCAGGGAAGCTAAGCTCCTGAGAGCGCATCCTCAGAGCTACCCGCCAACTTCCGCCTGCCTTCCGCCTGCTTCCTCCAGCCTTCTGCCAGTCTCCGCCGCCCTTCCGCCGCCCTCCTACCGAGGAAGAGATGTCAACTCCTTCGATCCATCGAAGGCGAAGCACTTTCTTGAACGCCGCTCCCGCCCAGCCTGGCAGCGCCATGCGTGCACCCAATTTCCTGGTAGTTGCCTTGGCCTCAGCGGAGACAGGGGGAGGGAGGGAGGCACACATGTCTCATGTCAGCGGGACACCGGTTCTAGTGAGCTGGCCAGAAGGCGCTTCGCGGTGCACCCATAGCTAAAGCCCGAGCCAAAACTGTAGTGTACAGAAAAACGGCCAGTGCCCACCCTGCAGTCTTGGTTGACAGCACATCGTTGAGAGGTGCTGCAGCCTCCCCTGAACACAAGACTTTCCCCAACAGGGCATCAATCAGACAAGTCGGGCTTGCGCTCTCATGACTTGCCAGCCTCTGGACTCCCAGTGACGGACCGACGCCTCCGCAGCAGCAGCCGCCCCCTCGACTTGCGGGGAGGGGGGCGCGAGGCAGCGCGCGCTTGCGCCTACGCTCAGGGCGGCTTCTCGAGGAGCCGCGCCCGCTCGAAGGCACGGCAGGTCGCCCATCTGCGAAGACGACGGTGCAGCTTGGCGACCCCCGACGCGCCACGCGCAGCCCGCAGCGTGTGGACCTGGGGCCGAGCACGTGGACCGAAGACCGCCGCGGTCTGCCGAGGCACGCTCGCCAGAGCGCGAGCCGACACCGTGCGCGCGACACGTGCTGCACACGGCACGCGCGCTGCCACTCCGCACGGCCGTCGCAGTGCAGCGGAGTGTGCTGGAGGAGAGGGGGGGTCGGATACAGAGAGGCGCCCGCGCAGACCACGGCCAGGCGCGCTGTGCTGGCCAGGGCCCTCGCAGGAGAGCCCGGGCAGCCTCCGCATGGAGCGGAGGAGGAAGAGAGGGCGGCGGGCAGAAGCAGGGAACCGAGCTCTATATACACAAATGCTGTTCCCGGCCCTGCACTGCAGTTTGCACAGGGCAGCGGATCCCGGTGGTACACGGGACCCTGGTGTATACATGTCTGGCTGTTCCCCGAGAAGCGGATACGGAAAGCATGCGCCGCACCGCCCCGACGTCGTCCCCGATGCTCCAGAAGCCCTGGAAGCAAAACACGGCCCGCCACTGGCGATGCGTATGCCCCCAGCTTCCGAACAAGAGGAGGGACGGGACTCGGGCGTTCGGGCGTGCGTCGGCGGCGCGGTGCTGTGTTCTAACGGGGGTCCTGGCCCTTCCCCGCAGCGTTCGCGCCCTCGTCCCCCGCCTCCCTCGCCGCTCCCGAGGCGCGCCTCTCCCCCCGCTGCGTGCCGCCGCTCCTCTGCCTCCGCCCCCTCTGCGCACTCTCGCGCGGCCCCCGTGTGCTGCTGCCTGCAGCAAGAGAGCGCGGCCGCGAGAGACCCCCTCCGCAGGAGACCCAATCCTGCGACCCAAGGTAGAGGAAAAAGAACTATGCACATACACCGATTCTGGCCAGGCCCATCCTGAGCCCAGGACCGGTGCATGTGCCCTCCTACCTTGGCCAGGAAGGCATATGCACCGATCCTGGGTCAAGGATGGGCCTGGCCGGGGTCGGTGCATGTGCATAGTTCTCTTCGCCCGACAAGGGCGCCCCTGGATTTCTGGTGCGGGAGCGGCACGCTCTCCGTGGCAGAGCCATACGAAGCACAGGAAACCCAGGGCACCCCGAAGGCAAGCAGGGTGCCTCTCGGCATGGGCTTCCACTGCACTCCTCCCCCTTCTCCCCTTCTTCCTCACCCAACTGGGGGGCTCAAGCCTCTCACCCCTGTGCCCATCCCGACCGCCAATCCCTTCACCCTATCGTTAGGTCGGGCATGTACTCCTACAGGCGGATCTTGGCGAAGAAATAAATACACAACTGATCAAACAAATAATCAAACGAGCACGAACATCGTCTCCAGACTACAATTTTACTATTGTTGCACACTCCTCCTGTAGAGGGAAATGCCCGACTTAAACTCGATCGCAGTCCACCACATCGGCCCCTTCCCGTCCCGAACCACATCGGGACCACGAAGACAGCAGCACATGCATGACGGATCAGCTTGACCTTCACTTCCTCCATCTCCCTCGTCTCCCTGTCTACACGACTCTCCCTTCCCCTGCCCACCAGGTCGTTGTTGAACTGCGACTCCAGGGACCCCATGATGTCGCAGAACTGCGCAAACAACTGAAGTGCCTTCGGGTGGGGTAGGGGCAGGAAGGCCCCGTGTCCTCCTCGCCCCCCTCGGTGTCCTCCCAGCCCCCCCCTCCTCGACCCTGCTGGGAAGCAGCTCCTGGCAGTCGCCCCACCAGGCGTTTCGGTCCGGCGGGCGGAGCCTTGCGCCTGAGGTGCTCCCACACTCCCACCGAGCACTCTCAGACAAAATGCTGAAGGCTTCAGCACTCGTACGGGTGGAGCGCGAGTGGCTTCAGCATGAGACGATCATCTCGGCGACGCGCACCCTCGCCTTCCCCATGCAGTCGCAGCGCGGGGGTCAGGCGGGCCGCGGTCAAACTGCCACATAGTTCGGAGCACGTGTGGAAAGCCTGGCTCTCGACATGGCGTCGCTCGCATGTATTCTCAAGCAGCCCATCCCTTACACCAACATGGTGGCACGTGTTCAAATATAGCTTGGCCACCTTATGGAACTTCATATGATCGTATCTATCGCCTCAGCTCGATGCAAGGATGAAAACGCGTAACTTTCAAAACATGGTCCTCGTAAAAAGTGTCGTGCGCATTTGCTCGATGGGCGTCTCTATACAATGGTGCCGAACAGCAACGTTTGGTGGGGAGCGGCTTCCACAATATCGCACTCGCCTTAGCACCGCACGCATTGAAAATACAAACTTGTCGCACGGCGGCACTGATGCAGGGCGCTTCTGTTTCCAAAGCTGTTTCTGGCATCGGCGCCGCGGACATTACTTCCAGGGGCTTCCAGCAACTGCTCGGGTGGAGGGCGGGCAGCGTATCCAGACTGGCCCTTGCGCCTTCTACTCGGACTGCCTGGGGGAACACACCCAATACCAGTGACACGCCGCCGTGTGGAACCCATCAGCGCGACACGGCCGAAAAAACACCACGGGCTCCCAACGTCCGCGCGTCATTGGCACCCTTCCACCCTCCAAAAAGCACTCCCTCACGCTTCACGGTCTCGACGCCCGGAGAATTGGACGGCTGCGTGAGCGGCGGGCGGCTTTCCGCCTATCTCACCAACAGAAAAATTCTTACATTAGGCGCATCAAGCCAGAAATCCGGCCTGCCGGCGGGTGCGCCACGGACATGTCTTATCCTCCGATGGCCCCTGGGACCCACCAAAGCCCTGGGGTAGGACCCTCAAAGATCGAGAAAGACTGTTCCCCAAGCCTTCTGGGACAAAATAGCTCATCGAATGTGCCTGATGTACACAATGTGGTCCTGATGTGTGAAGCCTCGGGAATACAGATGCAGGGCGGGCCCATCTCGAAGCCTGGCTCCCGCCCCAGCGCCGAACACATTCGTGGCCAACGCTGGGAAGCAACTGCTGCGAGGTCTTTGTAAGAATTGTCAGGGCCTCTTGAGCCCGAGTGAGGGACCACTGAGCCGGAATAGCCCAAAGCACATCTAAGGCCAGGATGAAGCTGGGCTTGTTGAGATTAGGCGGGGTAAAAATGACTGCGCGGGATTCGACCATATTTGGTTGGTTGTCGGCAACGGATATGCGAGCGCTGATGCTTAATTCAACCACCCAGGACTTGCATCTTAACCAACGCGCCCAGTACCAACAAAGATGGAAAGCACGTGGTTGCTGAGCATTGCGTCCACTGAGGCCCCCCACCATTTGGCCGAATCCAGAAACAATGACTCATGAATCCAAATACTTGTCACCTCTTTAGGTCGCATGTTTTACGTCCGCCGCCCTGCACCAAACTTCCGCCGCCTTCCGTCGGCGCTACCACCTCCAAATTACTTCCGCCGCCTTTCGCTGGCCTGACGCTAAGGGAAATCTGCCAAAAGATCGATCCCTCAAAGGCGAAGCCCCTTTCTGCCAAAGAGGTGCTGAGGGCAAACTCTCTACATTATCGCTCTCGCCTGAGCTCCCTTTAGGCTTCAATCCGCATGATCCTGAAGTTTGGCATTATCATCCGGCTACACTGGAGGAGCGCGTGCATTCCTCAAAAACGTACACGTCGGTCGGAAGAAGTAGGTATAAATATTAAGTAGGAAGGCGGATCAAGTAGATTGGGCCCAGGGCCTCCCAGAGAATAATAGAGTTCGGCAAAACGTATCGAGTGTTGAAGTAGGAAGGCGCTTGAAGTAGATCGAGATCTGTGTATCCAGAAATACCGACATTCCACTCTCGACGTGTACACACGAGGAGCAGGTCCATCAGGCCTGGGCGGCTGGTCAGGCCCCAGAGCCACAACTGAGCTCACCGGACTTGGGCCTGACGGCCCCCGTGCTGCAGTCGCCATCGGAAACGAAAAACTCATTGGCCTTGGATGGGTCTGGACCCAAACGCTGTTTTTCGTCTTGTGTTCGTTTTGTTTTTCGTTTTGCTCGACCTGTTTGTCTGTACCTCCCTGCCCAAACGAAAAACAAAACACAGCCGAAGTCCAGCAAAACAGCGTTTAGGTCCAGCCCTGCATTGGACTTGGATGGGTAGCCTGGACGGCGAGAAACCATGCCGGCTGCGCAGTGCAGCTCCGCAGGGCATTCGTGGCTCTGGGGCCTGGCAGTTCAAGAGCGGCTCCTGGCTGGGCCGGTACTTCCCCCTGGGCACCACGCAAACAGCAGCCAGGCTGGCTGACTGTTGGGCGCCCGGGTCCGGGGTAACTCGGGTCCGGGGTAACTCGGGTTTGGGTTCCCGAAAAACGAACCCGAGTTATCCCTGACCCGAGTTACCCCTGATGATTCGGGGCTCTGAGACTGGCTTCTCGACCTGGCCTGGACCCTGGGGCGCCCTCGCGGCTCGGCCTGGCTCGGGGGATCACCGCGCGCAGGAGCGAGGTCGGGAGCCGTGGCCGCGCCGTTTTCACGGCGCCGCGCTCTCCCTATGAGCGCGGCGCGTCCGCGGGCCAAGCGCACAGCACAAGTCCTGCGGGAATGTATCAAGGGGCCCAAAGACGCGCAAAGAAATACACACCAATAAAAGGATTCCCCATATTTTCCCATAGGTTCTGGGCGCTTGTCTTCAGTTCCCATAGTTTCCCATCTTTTCTTGGGGATCGACGATTCATTGTGTCTGTGTGTGTGTTTCCCCCTCCTGAATGAAGCCGAGACAGTGGGCGAAGCTACCCGCTCCCTGGCTCGGGCTGGCTGGTCGGTCCTCGGGGGGAAGGAACCCAAACGCGGCACGACGTGCGAGCGCTGCCCCCGCCGATCCAGACCCCGGGAGGGCCCAGTGACGCCCGTGGGGGCTCAGCACAATAGCAGGAGGGCGCGCACCGCCAGGGGCTCAGATACACTGCGCGCCGGCGCCATATCGAGGTGAGGCCGCCCCCGACGAGACCCCCGAAACGGTCCAGGTCCACGGGCGGCAGGCCCAGGCCCCTTCCGCGTCGCGAAACCAAATCTACGATTTTGTCGGGCCTGTCCCCCTACAGGGGGATTTTCGAAGAAAGATAAAAATACCCCCCAAACAATCCAAACAAAATCCAAGAATAGTCTGGGGATTATTTTAATATATTTTTGACCTTTTTTTTGATATTTTTGAATATTTTTTCCGTCGAAAATCCCCTTGTAGGGGGACAGGCCCGACTTACGTCTACGAACGGTTTGTGCGACTTTCGGCTTCCGAGGCCCGGGACACAACGCCTGTGGATCCAGAAGCCACCATCCGTTCGTCCACGAGTCCGCCGCGGCGTGAAGCTTTGGTGAGGTTTTGGCGTGAAGTTCAGGGCTGGATCTCATCGCCCGCCCTTGGGACATCGATGCCCTTCCTCGAAGAGAAAAGGGAACGGCATGAGCATGCACTTTCACAGGTCCGAGTGGCGTTTTGGAGCTGCGCTGAAACCCAGAGCTCTAGCGCAGATCAACGAGCTCGGTGCTGAGCTCAGAAAACTGATGCTTGTGCCGAAATACCCTTCTTCGGCTTCCAAAAACAACTGCGCAAACAGCATGTTCATGCATATTCTTGTTCGCTCTTCGACGTTCTTTATGTCCATGCAGAACTCATGTCCATAACGCCGCTTACCTCAGCGCTCAGACCCGTGCTCCGCCGAGAGCCCGCCGGCGAGGCGTCCGCGGGGACGCCCGTGCGACAGCTGTCTGGGACGCCGTCGGCAAGGCTGGGCGACCCTGTCGCGACGGATGGCATCCAGGAGGAAGGAGGAGGACGGAGAGGAGGAGGAGGAGGAGGAGGAGGAGGAGGAGGAGGAGGAGGAGGAGGAGCAGCAGCAGCAGCAGCAAACGCATTGCCGCCTGCAGAATCAACGCTCATCTCAGGTCCTGGCAAAAAAAGCGGCGAAACTCGCCCGCCCCCCACCCCGCATGTCAATGATGATCAGGGAGCGACGGGGCTCTCTCAGAAATGCGCCTGTATTTCGCAACCCATTCCCCGCCAACGCATTCGCCGGCCATCATCGAGATGCGGGGCGCGGGGGTGGAGCTTCCGGTACTTCTACAGGTCGGCGCTTATTTCGCAGACGGCGGTAGCTTGGCGGCGGGATACGAGGATGAGTGAGAAGGAGGATCAGGAGGAGGAGCGACCGTACCATAGGATCATGAGGAGGCGGGAGGTTCCTGGATAGGTCGGAAGCTTCGAGGTCTCTCGTGGCGGCCCGAGAAGGCTCTGGCGGCCAAGGTGAGGGTGGATCAGCAGGGGCAGGAGCCCCAAGCCTTCGGTCGTGCATGTCCTCCTACAGGCGAGTTGTGGCAAAAACATGGATATAGTCAGAACAGAATCCCATATAGTCAAAAGCACACGAGAAATCGTCACCATACTACTTTTTTGGCCAATCTTGGAAATGCCTCCTGTAGAGGGACATGCCCGACTGACATGTTGCTGTCCTCTCTGCCTCCTGACCCCAGGCCCCACTGCGCCGCTGGGAAGGGCGCGGCGCCTCGCGGAGGTACTGCTCCTTCCTGCTCGAGACCTCCCCAGGCTGCAGGCCCCACGTGAACATGCTGGCCACCGACTCGAAGTGCTCCTGGCAAAGGAGGCACCGCTTGATGCAGAGGGCAGAAAACCCACCCCCATAATAGTCACCCCGGCAAGCGGAGCCGTTCAGTAAACGCACCCAAAGAAGGAATCGAACAGGACAAGGCTGTTTAGCAAACGCCCAGGGCCGTTTCGCAAACGCCGAGTGTTGGGTCCGGGTGGTTTTTCCTCCCTTGACGCCTGTGTTCACAGACGTAGCTGGGCCAGCCGAGGCCCGCTCAGATTCTGCAGCCGTCACAAGGAGGAGAAGGGGGAGGAGGAGGAGGAGGAGGAGGAGGAGGAGGAGGAGGAGGAGGAGGAGAGAGGAGGAGGAGGAGGAGGAGGAGGAGGAGGAGGAGAGGAGGAGGAGGAAGGAGGGGAGGAGGAGGAGGAGGAGGAGGAGGAGGAGGAGGAGGGGAGGAGGAGGGAGGAGGGGTAGGAGGAGGAGGAGGAGGAGGAGGGGGAGGAGGAGGAGGAGGAGGAGGAGGGGGAGCTTTTTTTTACTCGACGAGGGAGCCCAAATGCCTCTGGAAACGGGTGTAATACACTGATTCGGCGAGCTGTCGCAGGCACGCTCCGTGCCCGTACTTTGGTCCAGCACGCAGGCCTGGGGCGAGCGCCCCCCGCGCATCAACGCGAGGAGCAGGCAAAGGCAGGCCGCGGGTCGCAGTATCTCCCGAGAGGGCACCGACGGTGGTGCATCAGCCTAGCTATCTCCGATGCATGGTGTCTGGATCTATTCGCCCAAGAATAGTTCACGACGAGAACTTGAAAAGAAACAATGTCTCCCCGCTAACCGAAGAGGTATGCCGCGGCCTCTTCATCAGCCTCATGACATTGCTCGTGCGGTGCCGTGCCGTCCGCAGGCTGGGGAGATGTGGAGGCATCGGGCACCGTGATGGCTGTCACGGAGTCTGCGCTTGAAGTTTCCCTCTTCAAGGAGGAAGAGGTGGGTCGGGGAGCCTGCTGCGCCGTGCCAGGCACGGTCTCACCTCTAACAAAGATGATGGGGCGGCGGCTCACGGTCGTCAGCCCTGCTGCAGCACGTCCAACCACGTCGCCACCTCGTCCTCCAGCCAGCCCGCGGGCATGACGCCCGTGAATCTCGTCGCGACGCCCTCCGCCTTGAAGGCGTGCGTCACCGTGCCCCTCATGGGCCACGTAGGGCCCGCGATGAGGAGCTTGGCCTTGCTCTCGTCGTGGGGCTGCTCGATCTTGATGGCCTGCACGTCCAACTCCACCTGCTCGCGGGTGATGGTCGGCTCGCCCGTCGTCGGTTCGATCTTGTCGAGGTAGTCGTTGAGCTGCTGGCGGCTCACGCCGCCCACGTCGCATGTGGCCAGCTTCTCGAGAAGGGTGACCGCCAGGGAGGCGGTCGGGCTGCCAACCGCTCGAAGCTGATCTGGTCCTGCCTCGCGCACGGTCTGCACCTGCTTCCTGTAGTCCTCCAGCGTCTGCTGCAGCGCCGTGATGACCGGGTGTCCCTTCGGCATCGTGAACGTGTCGACCACCGTCGCCATCGTCAGGCGCTGCCGCTGCGCTGTCTGGAGGGATAGCTTGGCTATCGCGGCCAAGCACTGCTGGATGTTCGCGTCCTTGCTCGTCCACTTCTTCTCCGTGTGGCCGCCTCGGCGATGACGGCGGCCTCCTCGATGTCGTCCTTTGCCTCCAGCCTTGCCGTCGAGGATCTTCTGCAGCTCCCCCTTGGCGTCGTCCATGGCTGTGTCCCTGTCCTTGTCGCCCTTCCTTCCCTTCTTCGGGTCGGGAGGCTTGGAGTCGCCGCCAGAATTCCCAGACGCCTGGGAGGATGCCGCTGGGGCGGCCGTCCGCCACGCTGCTCTCGGCCGAGGGGGGCCTGGCTCCTGGAAGCTGCCCGTCGCCGCTGCCGCCGCGCCGCCCGACATCTTGTGCAGGTGGTGCTCGAGGTTCAGCAGGCGGTGCTTGGCGAGGTCGCAGTAGCGGTGCGCTCGCGGCTGTTACCCGCGAAGGTGCCGAGGTGGGTGGCCAAGAAGAAGAGGTCGGCGGAGGTCGAGCTGCCACTCGTCGTCGCACTGGTCCCTCTCGCGCCCGTCTCCGAGCCTGGCGTCGTGCAGCAAGTTGACGAAACGCTGCGCGCAGGTCTGCACGAAGGTCGGGAGTGTCGTCCAGGTCGTCGAAGGTCGGCGGTGGCGCGCCTGGCCCGGGGGCGCCGGCTGGGGCGCGGACACTGTGCGCTGGCTGAGGCTGAGTGACTGTGAGCCGAAACCCTACGGATGTATGAGGAATGTGTGTGGCCAGGTGTGCCCGCAGCTCTGCTGGGTCGTCGTACTGTTCCTGGCACTCTGGTTGATCCGTATCTTCAGCCAACGGGCAGCGTGTCTCAGCAGACGGGGTCCAATCATAACAGTGGCGAGTGAGATTCTGAATGCACCTGCCTGCTCTCCACGCGCCACTGAGATGCCTCCGCGTGTGATCCACGCTGCCGAAGATCGTCTGGCAGCTAAGGCATTTATTGTCGAGCGTAATGACGGACAAGATCGGGGGGGTGCCGTGTCCAGGGAGCGTCGTGGCCCATATTTGGTGTTTGACGAGCTCCCTATTGGTGGCGAAACGTGCTCGGCAGCCCTCGATCCCGCAAACTAGCGGGGCCAGCTCGGCCTCGTCACTCTCCGTGTCCCCCACCTCCTCCCCCTCTTTCGGTAATTGTTCCAAGAGAAATTCAGGTGGGGCCCATTCGCGTGCCCATGCCGTCGTTCTCATCGCTCGAAAATCACAATATCTGAAAGCCTCGGTGACCTCAGGGTTCCCAAAGAAATTGGCCATCGCACGGGGCTGCCAGACTTCCTTGAGCTCCTCACCAATCGGGTGGGCCAGGGCCGCGTTCAGGTCCTGAGAAAACTGGAGGGCCCACGGGTGGATGTGTGGAGACGGGTCAAGCTCCCCATTCGGCAAGACAGTGGCATCTGCAACCTCGTTGCCCGCCTCTCTGGCTCGTCGCTCAAATCGGCAATCTCCAAAGAAAATACTAAGATAATGGCGGTGGTGTTCGGGGTTCCCTGCGATGGACTGCCACCATCTAAGACGACGGACCATAAGCTCGATTCCAGTCGGCGGGATTCGCCACTCTTCGAAAATCTGCTTGGTCGTTCAGGATGTGTGCGCGCCGTCCTCGTGCTCAACATGCGCGCGCCCGTGCAACATAGCTCGCATCTTCTTGGCTAGTGACGTGTCGATGTCCTTAAGCTCATTCGTGGTAAGCACGCACGCCTCCAGACCCGACCATACTCTGCCCGCTACATTAGCTAGGAATGTGCTGCGCATGCTTCGCCAAGGACCCGCCGTGAACCAGTACTGCCGAAGATTGCTCCACCCGATAGACCCTGCTCTAATGCGTGCCCTGATCTCTCTTCTGTTACTGCCCTGAACGTGGATGAACCCGCCCAAGTGGATAAGGTTGGTCATGGCTTTTCCTGAGATCCGTGCCTCGGCTTCCTTCGTGTCCTTAACCGTGGCCAGATGAACGAGGGTTTCCTGTTTGTCGACGTGTTGGGCGTACCCGCCCTCCTGAAGTCGCTTATCTAGGATGCGATTGTCCAAGTAATCTAGTTGCAACGCCTCCTGCACCGTGCCCGTGGGAACGATGATCACACGAATCAAGTCGTCGATAAATCCGCCGAACGAGGCATCAATATCTGTACCGCTGGGATCAGATGTGTCACCTACGTGATCTCCTGGTTCGTGTAAGGGGTCATGGCATAGCAAATCGTCGCCGATTATCGTGTTCAACTCTCGCTGCCACATACTAACAAGAGGGTAGAATGCATCCATGAATAGCTCAGGCTCGTTAGAGTCTCCCATTCTGCCCCCCGTCGTGGGATGTAAACTGACGTCACCATCACGTGCTTGATAATATAAAATGCCCGTGCTCCTGTGGTGCGTGAGTAACTCGTCATAGTATTCGTCAACTCCCCGTGACCTGTGTGCGTTGAACAAGCGCTCGTGCATGCCCGTGTCAAAGGCGTTGCGCATATCATACGACTTGACCAGATAATAATGATGACACCGTCGAAGTTTCCACATGATGAGTTTGATGATGGTCATGAGTCCCTCCCTCCGCCTATGGATGATGCCGCCGTATGCCCAGGGAGGGGGGTCAAACCGACTGCCGAAATCTACTAGCCCGACACGTAACAGTACTCGCCACCAATGACAGAAACAATGCAGTATACGCAAGCATTTTGTAATGTCAGTGACGTCGTTTCCCGTCGGGGTTTTGCCTGGCTTGCCGATGGCGATAGCATGACTGACCCGGGCGTGCTGGGGTAGAAGTGCTCGTGCTCGTATGTGTGCCAACAACTGTGCGAACATGTCGTGACCCACCTGCGCGTGCTCTGAGTCAATGTTGATCGTCCTCCGGACGCGGGTCGTGGCCGCCAGTGCCTCGAAATCCAGAAGGTCGGGATCATGTCGTCTCCACGTGGAACCTATGCCTTCCTGGGAGTACCCTGGGCGGAACAGAAGGGCGGGAAATAGCAGCAACTTAGATATCTCGACAGGCCACGACCACGGAGGTGCATATCTACGATGGGTGCTGTGAAGGATCCTTTTCTTGACGAGCTCTAGGTCCTCTGCAGCCCTCTCGTGGTCCTCAATGGTCGGGGGGGCGAGTCGGGGTCCGTAGGCAGGGAGGTCCTCGAGGGGGGTATCCAGGAGCTTCTGAACGGCCTCAGAGGTCATGTATTTGCTCATGTGCGCGTTTGTCGTCGTCAGACCCCCCTCGACAGCTGGTAGGCTCATCGCCTTCCTGAAGTCCTCGGCGCTGGGGCGACTCGTCGGGAGGGCCAGATAGCATCTCTTCCGAGGTCCCATGTTGGTGCCCGCCCGAAGCCTGATGAGGTATCCCACCCGAGCCTGGTCACGAACCGCCCACGCCTCCCTGATCTCCTGTTCGAGCGACTCCCTCCTCCACCTCTCCTGCCATCGTCGATGCGATCGAAGCTGGTGATCGAGACGTCGGAGGAGACCGCCCGAGAGTTCGAACCCAAGGTCTCGCAGTTCGGCCCGCTGTCGAAGTAACCTCCTCCTCTCCTCCTTCGCCTCGGTGACCCACGCGGGCGTCGATCTCTCTGCCGAGAATACTGTCACAGCAGCCTGTCGGATGATCTGGGTGACCACCCCCGCGTGTCGAGTAGGTTCCCCGTCCATGGTGAGAGCTCGACACAAGGGGCGGTATGCTGTCCAGGCCTGGCAAATCTGACTCATGAACTCCTCCCTCCGATACCCGTTCTGCAGTGCTGCTGCTAGCCCTCCCCAGTCCCATGCACATCCCTGCTGCTGCTGGTGCGGTGTTGGTGCTGGTACACGAAACTGGAGGTACATGGGTACGTGATCTATCATGTGCGGGAGAGCCTGCAGCCGACGCTGAGAATTCCAGAACATTCGCATACGTACCCCAATCTGCAGAAGGGCCCTCGGGCCTAAGAAGTAATCAATACGACTACGAGCTCCGTTAAGGCCATAGTAACTAGGTCCGAGATCATGTGTGTTCAGGAAGGTCAAGTGGCTCTCTTCAAACTGCCTGCGGACAAAAATGGACATCTCCTCCTCGTGGCCGGCCTGATGGGGTCCAACGGTGTGATCATCAATAAGCTCGGCGCCTTTCTTACCCATCTTAAGATTCAGATCGGCGAAAATGATTGGCAATACACGTGCTGGGACGCTGTCGGCCTGCTGTTTGATCCACGAGGTAAGTTGCTTGCATGTCGCCCGCCAGCAGGGGGCGCGGCGTGCTGATGAACATCGAGGCGGGTAGTATCCCACGATAAAACGAAATCTCCGGGGACCTCTCTCGATATCTACACAACCCGCTCGCCCCTGAAGGTGTGGTGGTGGGTATGTTATACGAATAATATGTCGGGGCTGGTATAACTTTGCCGAGACCGCAATAGAGACGCCCGCCGACGCATTCGTGTTTGACCCGCGTCCCCACCCCCAGTGTATCCAGTGGAACTCGGGGGTACGCTCATAGTGGTGCTGCTGGTTGAGCTTCATAGGGATTTTTGTTCCAGGAACGAAGATCGCCGATGCTCTAGCAAATTCAAGTCCCAGGCTCTCCGTACGACCTGTACGCATCAACGTGTAAGCGTTGTACCCTACGAAGGAGGCGTGCACAAGCCATGATGATGGTGTTGGTGATGGTGATGTTCCACATGGCCCAGCCGTCCCCGTACCCGTGGCGCCCGTCGTCTCACTCGTCCTCGCCCTTGCCCTTCCTGTGCTGCAGCCTGGTCCGTCGCTGCTGCTGCTGCTGCCTCCTCCTCCCTCCATCCCGGCTGCCCGCTGCCAGCACGCCCCGCCCCTAGCGGAGCGCAGCGCCGCCGCCAGCAGCGCGCTGGGCCCCTGCTCCTCCCCCAAGCGGGCCTGGCGGCTCGCGGTCGGGGGAGGCCATCGGATGCGAAGGCCGCATGTGGCTGCGGGCCTGAGCAGTCCGTGGCCTTGGAGGAGGGGGAGGAGGAGGAGGAGGAGGAGGGACCCGATGTGTTTTTCAGAGTGGGGATCTCCCCTGCAACAGCCTCGAGGACGGAGGGCGGCCCCATGTTCAACACACGTGGCCTGCACCGTACCGCCGCACACAGTCAGCAAACAAGTGAACCACCGTTGCAATCATTTTTTTGTTTTGTGCCCCCAGTTCCTCAGGTTTCCTCAGGTTCCTCAGGTTTGCTCACATGCCGGCGTGCCGAATGCATGCTGCCAGTTCCTCAGGTTTGCTCAAATGCGTACCGAATACATGCTGTCGTGTCCAAGCCTGCCGTCGTAACCAAGAATATCCGCACTGCATGACAATGATGGCCGGTGGTTCCTGTACTGGAGGGTGGAGTGCTTCCAAAGTTTGCCTCTCGCGCTGGCGCCGTGCGCATTCGCTTCAAAGCGTTACGGCAGGTCTTGGCGATGGAGGGGGTCATTGTCAACATCGCCATCTCGCCTTGGCGCCGAACGCACTCTTTGCAACCTCTTGCAAAAACGACTTGGGTGGACAATGGATGGGGCTCTCGCCTCAGCGCCGCGCAAATTCGTCCTGAGCATCTTGCAACAACTACAGGGGATGGAACACGGGTCGTCTTCGAATCGGGGCCTCCGCGCTAGCGCCGCGCACATGCGACCGAAGGATGGAGGACGGATCTATTTCAAAACGGGGCTCTCGCTCGAGTCGCTCGAGCCTTCCTTGAACTCAGCGGCCAGAGACCTCGACGTGCAGCAACACACTGCGCGGCGCAAGGGCCGCAGCATTGCAAACCTAGGCTCTCGCTTGAGACTCCTGTGAAGCGCACGACGAGAATTCGAAAAATGTAGAATAATTGCAAGGATGAGGGTCGGCCACCTCCTGATGACAAGGATAACTGCAAGGATGAGGGAAACCACTGGGCACTTTGCTGACTTGTACGATCCTGCTCCTTCGCATTCCTGAGTGCGCGCCAGAAGGATGCAAGGTAGCTCCTTTTCAACACGGGGCCCTCGACAAAATGACAAGCCCACGTGGTGCGGACCTTTCAAGGGGACGCTCCTTGTCGGAAAAAGGAAAGTTTGCAGGGAATTGCGAAGGATGGGGCTTGGGACGGGAGCGTGTATTGCAGCTTCGCTGATGCATCAGAGGTTTGTCCTGGTCCTCCTCTTCCCCCTCCTCCTCTTCTTCTTCTTCTTTTTCTTCTTCTTCTTCTTCTTCTTCCCCCCCTCATCCTCTTCCTCCACTTCTCCTCCCCCGAAACTTCCGAACACCCCCGTGGACCCGCCGAGCGACCCCGAACACTGCCGGGTGCCTTCAGGAAGCCTCCGAAGGGGGAGGGAGCGGCGCCTCCCTTCATCTTCCTCTTGATTTTCCTCCTCCTCCTCCTCCTCCTCCTCCTCCTCCTCCTCCTCCTCCCCCTCCTCCCCTCCTCCCCCTCCTCCCCTCCTCCTCCTCCTCCTGCTCCCCCATCCTACTCCTCCTCCTCCTCCTCCTCCTCCTCTTCCTCCTCCTCCGCCTCCTCCTCCTCCTCCTCCTCCTCCTCCTCCTCCTCCTCCCCTCCTCCTCCCTCCTCCCTCCTCCTCCTCCTCCTCCTCCTCTCTCCTCCTCCTCCTCCTCCTCGTCCTCGTCCTCGTCCTCGTCCTCCTCCTCCTCCTCCTCTTCCTCCTCCCCCTCATCCTTCTCCTCCTTCTCCTCCTCCTCCTCGATGCCCAGAAAGGCCGCGGCCAGTGCCCATCCGACAAACTATCCTCCAGAAGGGGCGCCGGCGAACCACCCCCCCCCGCCAGCGAGAAGCCCCTCCGGGCAAGGGCAGCCAGCGGTGCCCGCCCGCTGGTACAATAAGTACGTTGCCGCGCCGCGCCCGGCCCCGCCGGGGGTGGTCCTTGTAGCTGCGGATCTCCTTCCTCTCGACCTCAGCATAGGGGTAAGTCGTCGTCGTCGTCGTCGTCGTCGTCGTCGTCGTCGTCGTCGTCGTCGTCGTCGTCATCAGTATCTGCAGATGTCCCTCCTCTCGACCTCAACATAGGGTTCGGTCGGGCATGTCCTCCTATAGGCGGATTCGGGAGGAAAATTGCCCAGGCACGTACCCAACCCTTTGTACACATGAGGCGACTATTCATCGCACCGCCCAATACAAAAGCGAACACTGAAGGATCCGCCGTGCCCTTGAAAGATTCGCCAAAGAACGTCGGGCCAGAGTCAAATGTTTACATATGCGGCGTCGCTCTTAAGATTCAGATCGTTGGCAGGAAGGCGGCCACGAGGGAGTGTGGAAACACAATAAGGAGAGACGATTGAAGACAGAACTCGTGGGAGCAGCGCCGCTGGACCCCCCCACGTTACAACATGGTGATCTGCGTAAGACGCACCTCCGCTGGGCATCCCGAGACCCCACGACGGTGGCGACGATTTCGCAGATCGCACCCCCCCATGGGGGCGGCGAGGTCTCACGGTGATCTGCGTAAGACGCACCTCCGCTGGGCATCCCAGGAACCAACATTAAGGGCGACGGCTTCGCAGATCGCAGCCCCCCAGGGACGGCGAGGTCTCATATTTGTTTTATTTTATTGTATTTATTTTCATTTTTTTTTTCATTTTGAGGTTCGCACCTCCGCTGGGCCTCCCAAGAGCCGACGATGGCGGCGACAATTTCGCAGATCCCAGCCCCCCCAGGGGACGGCGAGGTTTCATGGTGATCTGCGTAAGACGCACCTCCGCTGGGCCCCCAGGTGCCCACGACAATGGCGACCGCTTCGCAGATCGCAACCCCCCAGGGACGGCCAGGTCTCATGCTTTTTAAAGTTTATTTTCATTATTTTTGTTTTCCATTTTTTTTCGCACCTCCGCTGGGCCTCCCAAGAGCCGACGAAGGCGGCGACAATTTCGCAGATCCCAGCCCCCCCAGGGGACGGCGAGGTTTCATGGTGATCTGCGTAAGACGCACCTCCGCTGGGCCCCCAGGTGCCCACGACAATGGCGACCGCTTCGCAGACCGCAACCCCCCAGGGACGGCCAGGTCTCATGGTGGTCCCCGTGGGACACGACTCTACTGGACCTCCCATGACCACGAAAGTGGCGACGGCTTCGCAGATCGCATCCCCCCAGGGGACGGCGAGGTCCCATGGTGATCTGCGTAAGACGCACCCCCGCCGCTGGGCCTCCCAAGAACCAACGAAAATGGCGACACTTTCGCAAATCGCAACCCCCCAAGGATGGCCAGGTAACGGAAAGAGCGAGGTACGAGTGATGACGTTCTGGTGTGGGCGAAGCCCCTCAGGGGGAGTGCAGAGGGGGGCGAGGCCTGCACAACTGCGGTCTAATGGCCGTTTTCGGGTTTTCCCTTGGGTTTTTGCATGTAGCTGAAAGAGCGAGAGACGAGTGATGACGTTCTGGTGTGGGCGAAGCCCTAAAGGGAGGGGTTCCAGGGGAGGGGCGAAGCGTGTGGACCTGCGTGTTAATGCCCGTTTTCGGGTTTTCCCCATGGTTTTTGCATGCTTTTCGGGATCCCTTCCAAGACGGCCCAAGAGCGCTCCAAGAGAGCCCAAGACCGCCCAAGAAGGCCCAAGAGGCCCCCAAGAGGCCCCCAAGAGGCGCCCAAGGGGCGCCCCAAGAGGGCCCCAAGATGCCGAAATCATTGATTTTCCACAGGGAAACGTATATTTTCAACATGTGTGCTTTGTCGGCTTCCACGGCGTTGAAGACGGCCCAAGCGGCCTCCAAGACCGCCCCAAGACGGCCCAAGAGGCTCCCAAGAAGCCCCCCAAACGGCCCCAAGACGGCCCAAGGGGCGCTCGAGACTGCCCAAGAGGGCGCCAAGACGGCCCCAAGAGGGGGACCCCGAACCGAAAAGTCCAGCCGTTCGCCCCAAGACGCTCCCAGGAGGCCCCCAGAGCCCCCCAAGAAGCCCCAAGAGGCCCCCAAGAGGCGTCCCAAGAGGCCACTGGAAGGCGAAAATCATTGATTTCCCACGGGAAAATACATTTGTAGCATACAAGGCTTTTCGGCTTTCACTGCGTTGACGACGCTCCAAGAGGCCCCCAAGACCGCCCCAAGACGGCCCAAGAGGCTCCCAAGATGCCCCCAGAACGGCCCAAGAGGGCCCCAAGACGGCCCAAGAGGCGCCCAAGACGGCCCAAGAGGGCCCCAAGACGGCCCCCAGAGGGGGACCACGAACCGAAAAGTCTGGCCTTTCGCCCCAAGAAGCTCCCAGGAGGCCCCCAGAGCCCCCCAAGAAGCCCCAAGAGGCCCCCGAGAGGTTCCCAAGAGGCCTCCAAAAGGGCCCGACAAGGGGTCCGATAGGACTCCCAAGAAGGCCCAGAGACGCCAAATAGAGAGCGATCGGTAACGCAAAAAGCTCTTCACACCAAGGCTCCCAAGAGCGAGCGGTGACGTAAACAAGCTGATAAGACCAAGGCTCCCAGCAGAGAGCGGTGACGTAACAAGTTCCTGACACCAAGGCCCAGCCAAGGCTCAGGAACGGGCGGCAACGCAACAATCTCTGAACACCAAGGCTCCCAAGAGCGAGGGGTGACGTAACAAGCTCTCAACGCCAAGGCTCCCAGTACGAACGGTGGTGTGAGTACTTTCGGTTTCTGTTTCTGAAGCGCTCTTTCCGTTTCTGCTCCAAGAGAGCCCAAGACCGCCCAAGACGGCCCAAGAGGCCCCCAAGAGGCCCCCAAGAGGCGCCCAAGGGCCGTCCCAAGAGGGCCCCAAGATGCCGAAATCATTGATTTTCCATGGGGAAACGTATATGTTTAACATGTGTGCTTTGTCGGCTTCCACGGCGTTGACGACGGCCCAAGAGGCCCCCAAGACCGCCCCAAGAGGCTCCCAAGAGGTCCCCCAAACGGCCCAAGAGGGCCCCAAGACGGCCCAAGAGGCGCTCGAGACGGCCCAAGAGGGCTCCAAGACGGCCCCAACAGGGGGACCCCCAACCGAAAAGTCTAGCCTTTCGCCCCAAGACGCTCCCAGGAGGCCCCCAGAGCCCCCCCAAGAAGCCCCAAGAGGCCCCCAAGAGGCGTCCCAAGAGGCCACCGGGAGGCGAAAATCATTGATTTCCCACGGGAAAATGTACATTTGTAGCATACAAGGCTTTTCGGCTTTCACTGCGTTGAAGACGCTCCAAGAGGCCCCCAAGACCGCCCCAAGACGGCCCAAGAGGCTCCCAAGAGGCCCCTAACACGGCCCAAGAGGGCCCCAAGACGGCCCAAGAGGCGCTCAAGACGGCCCAAGAGGGCCCCAAGACGGCCCCAAGAGGGGGACCACGAACCGAAAAGTCTAGCCTTTCGCCCCAAGAAGCTCCCAGGAGGCCCCCAGAGCCCCACAAGAAGCCCCAAGAGGCCCCCGAGAGGTTCCCAAGAGGCCTCCAAAAGGGCCCGACAAGGGGTCCAATAGGACTCCCAAGAAGGCCCAGCGACGCCAAATAGAGAGCGATCGGTAACGCAAAAAGCTCTTCACACCAAGGCTCCCAAGAGCGAGCGGTGACGTAAACAAGCTGATAAGACCAAGGCTCCCAGCAGAGAGCGGTGACGCAACAAGTTCCTGACACCAAGGCCCAACCAAGGCCCAACCAAGGCTCAGGAACGGGCGGCAACGCAACAATCTCTGAACACCAAGGCTCCCAAGAGCGAGGGGTGACGTAACAAGCTCTCAACGCCAAGGCTCCCAGTACGAACGGTGGTGTGAGTAATTTCGGTTTCTGTTTCTGAAGCGCTCTTTCCGTTTCTGTGCCGGGCCAGGTCTAATGGTGGCCCCCGTGGGACACGCCTCGACTGGACCTCACATGAGCCCACGGAAAGTGGCCACAGTTTCTCAGATCGCACCCCCCCAAGGACCGTGAGGTCTCATGGTGGTCCCCGTGGGACACCCCTCCGCCGGACCTCCGATGAGCCCACGAAAGTGGCGACGGCTTTGAAGATCGTAGCCCCCCAAGTGACGGCGGGGTCTCATGGTGATCTGCGTAAGACGCACCCCCGCCGCTGGGCCTCTCAAGAACACACGAAAGTGGCGACAATTTCGCGGACCCCAGCCCTCCAAGGACCGCGAGGTCTCATGGTGGCCCCCGTGGGACACCCCTCCGCTGGACCCCCCACGAAAAGTCTCGTGGTGGTCTCCGTGGGGCGCCCCTCCGCTGGACCCCCCAAGAGCCCACGAAAGTGGCGACAATTTCGCAGTTCCCAGTCCCCCAAAGACGGCGAGGTCTCATGGTGGTCCCCGTGGGACACGCCTCCGCTGGGCGTCCAAGGAGCACGCGAAAGTGGTGACAATTTCGCGGATTCCAGTCCCCCAGGGACTGCGAGGTCTCATGGTGGTCCCCGTGGGACACCCCTCCATTGGACCTCCCAACAGCCCACGAAAGTGGCGACAACTTCGCAGTTCCCAGCGCCCCAGGGACGGCCATGTCTCATGGTGGTCCCCGTGGGACATCCCTCCGCCGGACCTCCCAGGAATCAGCGAAAGTGGCGCCGGTGTCGCAGACCGCAACCCCCAAAAAACGGCGAGGTCTCAGGGAGGCCGCCGTGGGACACGCCTCCGTTGGTCGTCCCAGGAGCCCACGAAAGTGATGACAATTTCGCAGATCCCAGCCCCCCGAAGACGGCGAGGTCTCATGGTGGTCCCCGTGGGACGGGACACGCCTCCGCTGGGCGTCCCAGGACCCCACGACAGTGGTAACAACTTGGTAGATCGCACCCCCCCAGGGACGGCCAGGTCTCATGGTGGTTTCCGTGGGACACCCTTCCGCTGGACCCCCAGGAGTCCACGGAAAGTGGCGACAGCAACCCCCAAGGACGGCGAAGTCATGGTGGCCCCCGTGGGCAACCCCTCCGCTGGACCTCCCAAGAGCCCGCGAAACTGGCGACGGCTTCGCAAATCGCAGCCCACCAGGAGCGGCGAGGCCCCGCGTCGGATCCC